AAAAAAAAAAAAAAAAAAAGGATTTGTTCTGTTAAGGTTGGATTCAGCCAAGGGGGCCACACTTGGAGATGTGGAGGGCCACATGTAGCTCTGAGGCTGCAGGTTCCCCACCCCTGGTAGGACAAAAAGCTGTCACTTTCTTTCCCTTCTGGCAGGCCAGTCCTCAGTCCCGTTTTTTCTAGCATCAAATAGAATGGCTCTGAGGTTTGTAGGCAAATGCTAGAAAAAAGCCTTATCTCTAGCAGAGAATGTCAATGCAAAAAGAGTACATAAATAAATAAATCAGTCTCTATTTATCTCCAATAGATACTTCAGTTTTTTCTGTCTATTACAGGACTTCACTCTTGAGCATTCCTAACAAGTATGTGTGGAAATGAGGTTGAATTAACTCTTGTTCCTAAAGTACCAATCACTCTGGCCACTACTAAATTCTCGTTTGACCTATGGTAAAGTACCTATGCAGTGAAGTACCTGCCTATCTTAAGGGCAGTGACAGAAAACTCTAGAAAACCTTTCTCACAGGAAGTGCCAGGCATGACAATTAGTTCTAAGACTGAGTAAGTAAGGCCTAGTTTCCTTTTTAGTTTTACAGTTATATGCAGAGTTGGGGACTCACCATATCATCTTTTCATAACATCACATCTTGGGGTTTAGGGGCTGACCTGGATTCCATAAGGCCGAAGCGTTGAACTGTTACTCCTTCACAACCTTGGGAGAAAGTCTGTTCAGTGAGGGTCTGTGCCAGTCCTCCATGATGTATCTCACCAACCTTTGCCTTCTTGGATGTCTCCTAGCATGATGCCAGGCCACAGCCACTGGGTGAAAAACTTGGAAGCTGAGAAGTAGGCTGAAACTCTGGAATTCGTTGTTGGATGGGTATCTCTCCCGGCAATAGCTATGGCTCCCATATGCATTGTTTTTTTTTTTTTTTTTTAAGACACAAGAGTCTCACTATGTGGCCCCCCATAGAGTGCTGTGAAGTCACAGCTCACAGCAACCTCCAACTCCTGGGCTTAGGCAAATTCTGTTGCCTCAGCCTCCTGAGTAGCTGGGACTACAGGCGCCCACCACAATGCCCGGCTATTTTTTTTCTTGTAGTTTGGCTGGAGTCAGGTTTGAACCCGCCACCCTCGGTATATGGGGTCGGTGCCCTATTCCCTGAGCCACAAGCACCACCCTTTTTTTTTGTCTTTTTGAGACAGAGCTTCAAGCTGTCGCCCTGAGTAGAGTGCTATGGCATCACAGCTCACAGCAACCTCCAACTCCTAGGCTTAAGCAATTCTCTTGCCTCAGCCTCCCAAGTAGCTGGGACTACAAGCACCCGCCACAACACCTGGCTATTTTTTGGTTGCAGCCGTCATTGTTTGGATTTGAACCCCCCAGCTCTGGTGTTCTGTGGCTGGCTCCTTAGCCGCTTGAGCTACAGGCACCAAGCCAAGTTTGTGTTTATTTCTAACTTGCAGTTCTCTGTTACATGCCAACTGCTCGCTTCAATACTGGTAGTGCGTTTACTCCCAGGAGCAGGAGAGGGTGAAAGAGAGCCTGCCCCTCAACAGGACTGAGGCACACATACCTTTTGATGTTTGATGCCCATGTCTCACTTATGACATAGGTGGATGTGAATTCAAAGCTGGTAGTAACTCCCAGACCACTGGGAAAGTCATCTGAAAGCATTAGCAGCCTCAGAACCGTGCAACTCCAAAGCCCAATGGCAGTGCCCCTGCTAAGAGCAGTGTATGCACACCCAGAGTACAGTCAGCGCTCCTCAGGTCTGGAAGAACCTCAGCACTGGGAACTATCCCTCACACCCAGCAGTACCCCCAAATTGAAGATCAGCCTGTGTTTTGCCTTTTCAAGTTTTTATTTTTATACATTTTTTTGTATTAAAAAGAAAAGCATAATTACCACAAATTACAAAGGACTAAAGCAGGACTAGAATAATGAATGAATCACTTCAGCCTGGAAAGCAGATACTCTCAATAATATTAATGTTATAATACAAGCTCATTCAAGTATTTTACATTTTTTTTTTGTCCTTTTAAATGTGATATCCTAGCACATGGTAAAGATAACATACTACGAGCGTAAGGTGGAACCTTCTCCACAAAGCCAGATGACAAGTTTTCCTCTCCAGTGAGAAATGGACTGTAAGTTCTTCTCTTCTGTGCCATCACCATGGCTGAAGGAGGAAAGGATGGGGGCTGGGGAAAATCCAGGGACCTTTCCACACAGGAGATATTTTGGAGTCCCATTCAGGAGGGTAACAGATGATCCAGATCACTCTACCCAGGCCATTTGGCAAAAAACCCTCACCCTCCTAAGTTATTTTCCTACCCCTTCTCCTCCCCACTTTCAGGACCTTCTGAGCAGCTCACTTTCTTTTTTAAAAATCAACTGTCAGGAAAGGTGGGGGGGAAAGAGCTACAATGCAACAAAACAAAAACATTAACAACTTTGACGTGGGGGCTCAGCACCTCTACCTGAGCCCCAGGGGTCCAGGCTGGGGCAGGGCCAAGTGGCCCTTCTCTACTGGTAGTGCATTTACTCCCAGGAGCAGGAGAGGGTTGAAAGAGAAGCCTGCCCCTCAACAGGGCCGAGGCACACAAATCCTTTGATGTTTGATGCCTAAAGGTTGCGTTGGCATGGACCAACCTTGGAAGGGTACAGAATGAAGAGGGGTATGGGCAGGCTGTTGCTTTGTGTCTCAGGTCTTAGATCCCCATGGGATGATAGGTGTGAAGTGGCTAGCCCTGATGGCTCCTGCCACTCCTGGCATGCTTGTCACAGATACATCGGTCCTAAATTCAAGTGTCTTCAGAAAGTGAAGATGTAAACTACTCTTTGCAACATTAACTCCTAACATGTTACAAAAGAAAAAAGTTCCCCCCCACCAGCCTATGTTGAGATGAAGTCCTCACCTCCCTGCCCCAAAGGGGCTTTCTCTTTCAGGGTTGTTGGTGGAGAAAATGGCAGCCCCCTGGCCTGGGAGTAAACTCGAGATAAGAACAGCCATTCTCCACACCCAAAAGCCTTCCCTGTGCCCCCGAACCCAGCAGAGGACAAACACTGAGGTTTCTATGGTGCTGGATACAGTACAGGGCTGAGTGACCTGAAGGAAAGAAAGGGGGAATAAAAGGGTGGAGAGAGGAGGGGTCCAGGAGTCCAGTGTCTGGTACAATGTGGGGCAGGCACTAGCCTGGGTAGGGAAAGGCCTCAGAACCCACCATCACAGCGGAGACCAGATGCTTGTCACTGGCTCGAGACGAATGGGTCACAGGAACTGAGATAGGCTTCCCACATAACTAACCACTGGGAGGGCAAAGGTGGGGAAAAGGGCACAGGCCAAAAGCAATGAGGTGCCCAAAATAGAGGGCAAATCCTCATCAGCCTGGGATACTGTCTCCTATTCCCAACCTTTGGGCCCAACAGAGGAACCAGTTGAAAAAGAGGCCAAAGTAGTTTCAGCAGTTGAGCAAAGAGACCACAAACTTCTCTGTGTTGCCCAGTTCCCACTGAGAGTGAACACACAGTTATGCCTGTACCTGACACACACCCAGTCTGTGCAGGTCAGTCCATCACCCACCCTAGTTTCTGACAGCAGACTCCAGCCATTCCACTGTCACTCACAGCCCAACCCAAAGTAGTCAGTGGCTGAAGAAGAGAAGTCAGGTATACTCTATGTCCACATATACCTTCCTGCCACAGGGCTTCACCAACTGGCAGGATCCCCCCAGCCCCCAACTCCTCCTCATCCCTTATTCCCAGGCAGGATCAGTTGGAGGGTGGGCAGAGATAGATGGCTTGCAGAGGGGGGATGCAAGATGGGGAGACCCCACCAGACCCTAGGAGGAGAACGGCATCTTTCTCCACCTTTTAAGAGAGACAAAGCCTCTTCAAGGTCTCAGAGATCTTTCGGGACAACACAAGCAACATTTCCAAGCCTTAGCTGCTAGATGTCCACCTTTCCCTTCTAGGGTGGAAGAGACGTTCAAGCCGAGGCAAAGTATGTTCCAGATCCAGGCCAACTCTGTTTTCTAACAGTTTGAAGCAAACTTGGCCTTGGGGTTCCAAGGGTAGGATGAAGGGTGTCACGGCAGGACGGGGCCTGGCATGAGGCAACAGCAAGCAGAGCGAGAACATGACAGTGGCAGCATGTATAGACACAGGACATCAGCTTCAAACGATGCAACAGCAGGGATATTTTGGGCACAGCTCTGATTTGAGCCACCCCCAACTCTCTTGCCTCCAGGTAGGAGGCACTGTACATGCAACTCAGTCCAGAGAATTATTCTAGCCAGTCCAAGCCCAGGCACATCCAGAGAAGGTGGGAGCTCTTCAGGTTGACTCCACCAAGGAAAACAGGCATTTGGGTATTTCAGATTCCCGTTCCACAATAAGGCAACTTTTAAAAAAATATTATTTCCAAGAACAAAACAAAAATTCCAAGGAGAGGGCGAAAGACATCACTTTCTGTGGATTAGGTGAGGGTTTCTGATTTTTTTTTTTTTTGGTCTTTTATGGTCAATTTTATCTTTTTTTTTCCATTTTCCCAAGGATGGAAAGGTCAGAGAAAAATAAAATAAATCATCTTTCAATAGTCTTTTCTGGTATGAGCAGCGTCTCTCTGGGCTGGGGAGTAAAGGGTGTGGGGAAAGGGGAGCAGGGAGAGGCTAAAACCTCCCCCCAACCCCCGCTTTTAGATCCTTTGGTTTCCTTCTCCCAGACAATGGCAGAAGGGCATGGTGGGGACAGCAGGGAGAGAACATGGTGATGATGACAAACCCCAGGTAACCAAGGGGCTGGTGCTCCTGGGCCTAGGAGCACCACCGGAGCCTCCCATGGGACAGTGCTGGGCAATGGGGCCCTCAGGGCCTTCTTGTGGGCTGCATAGTTGGCTTGAAAGGGAGCAGGAGGCAGCTGTGGGTAGGGATCAGGGTTACGACCTACCAGCCACGGGCAGGGCTGCAGAGTGATTTTGGTAATCCAGACGAACTATCAATAATTTAAAACTTGATATATATATATATGTGTGTGTGTGTATATATATATATATATAAAAAATCTCCCCCCTTCCCTCCCCCCTGAGAAGAAGCTAGGATATGAAGAGTCATGGAGAGAGGAGGGGGAAAGGGATATGTGGAGGCTCCTGCCCAGGGGTACCTCTCATAGCCCAAATGGTGTACATACACTGCTACTCAGCACAAAGGCCTGTCCTAATAACCCCAGGCCGGTCCCTTTTCTATCCCCTCTCCTGGGACTGGGCACCCCCATGGACTCTTGCCCACCCCACCCCTTTCCTCCTCAAATCCCAGGGCCAAGGGGCTTTCACTTTCCCAAAGTCTGTGTATCCGAGTGCTGGCTTGTCCATTTGGCATCTTCCCGGACGGACTGGCCGGTGGGTGGTATAAGAGGTTGGCTGATCATGGTGGCTGGCCTGTTGGAAGACTGAGAGGGGCACCGCTTTCTGCCCTCACCGCTACCACCTCCTGCAACCACTGAGTGTCGCTTATGGTTGCCCTCCTCACCCATTGGGGGCTGCAACAGAAGAGGAAGTCACAGGTGATTGGGATTACTACCCACAGCACTGTCCTTAACAGGCCTGTCTGGACACCTCCTACTTTCTACCTTCAAATGCAGATAATGAATGGGTTTAACCTTAAAAATGAATTACTAATTATTAAGCATTTCTCCATACCAAGCACTATGCTATTTTATGTACATTCTCTCCTGGGGTCCATACCACCCCCCTTTGATATGGACCTATCATCCAATTTCACCAATGAGGAAGATGAAAACACAGAAAAACAATTTGCCTATAGTCTCTAAGTCTCACAGCTAACTGCTAAGATAAAATTTAGGTTTTTAAAGGCCAGGCTTCTATCCATGTAGGTTTCTGCTCCCTTTCTGAGGAGGGATCTCTTGCTCAGAAATAATGGAATGTGGTATGCAGTATGCTCAGGTGTCTTAGTTCAGAGGGCCCAGATGCTCCCAGGATCTTCTCCTTCCCCTCAAGGTCCCAACAGTATGATGAACAGAGACTCAAACCACAATCTTATTTGGTCCTACCACTACTAAAGGTCTTGTAACCACAAAGACATTTCCTTCCATTTTTGTATATCAAAGCTGAGCCCTTCATATTCCATCTTAATAGGTCTACAAGTATTCTTTGAAATTATACCCTCCCTGGTCCCAAGAGTGGAAGTGTGTAAGGACGAAAGAAAACAGATCTGTCTTCATACTGGGAGACCTGAGCATTTCTGTCATTGGGTGGCCACAAACCTTAGTTTACCCATCTATGTAACAAAAATAATGACAAGCCTTACCTACTCCACCATGTAAAGGTAAATTAAGTCAATGGAAAGTGCGTGGCACATAATAAACAATAATCAGCAGTTTTTAAATAATAAATGTGAGGACCATTATTGCCATTAATTTGTATGTGTCTTCTAGCTAAAAGGTTTAAAGGCACTAAGATGATTAATAGAGATCTCTACTGTATTATAAACGCTTTGAAGGAGAAATAATCTCCTTCTCTCATTTCTGGATTCCCTAAAGCACCCAGCACAGGGACATCAAATCAGTATCTGCTGAATCAATTGTAATATTCCAATCACCAATTCCCCTTGATATAACCGGTAGCAATAACCCAGATCCGCCACTGGATGTCACTGTTGATGTCTAAGACAACAGTAGGGTTTGGAACTGGCCTTTTCCAGAAAGAGCAAATACCTTGCATATCTATCCTGATCAAACACTGGATGACTGGGGTACAGCAGCAGGGAGAGTTATGAGAAGGAGAAAGAGTATTCTGGTTGTTTGGCAATGTCTGCCACAGGAAAGGGAGGGAGCAGCAACCATATAACTACCTTCCATCAGCTTTCACTGCCATTCTCACCCCCATTTCAGAGATGAAGAAACTAAGGCCCAAACTGTTGGGGGCATGAAGAAGGATCCCCAGGCTAGTGGCATAGCTGAAACCAGAATCCAGGTACCCTGATTTCCTGGTCCAATTTTCTTTCCTGGATAACTAGGATTAGAAAGAGAAACTTTTCACTTACATCTACTCGGAAGTCTTCAAGACGTCGGAATTTGCCGAGGTATTCTTGCAGTTTGGGGTCAATGTCCAAATTTTTGGCTTTGGAATATTTCAAGAAGGCCCAGAACTTCTCTAGCCCATAGAGCTGGCCTATAGGGAAAGAGGAAAGAGAGATAGAAGGTGGGTGGTGGGGAGAAGATGATAAAGAGGCTCAGAGAAGGAAGGTATAGCGTGATTCAAAAAAGGACCCAGGCCAAACCGGGGAGACAGGAAAGCCTAGATGATCAGGTCTCATAGAGAGCCAACTTTGGCTCTTACCAGCTTCGTAGTCCTTCATGGTTTCCTCCTGAAAATCCTTGAATATGTCCAACCGGAACTTCTTTTCCAGACCATAACTGTAATATCGAAAAAGGCACTCCAAACCATATCTGCAGGACAACACAAGCCAGTGAAATCAGAGCAGTTTCTTCCTCCATAAAATGAGGAAATGTACCTGCATAACACAGGACCTATGAAACAGTTTAAAACATATTATTCCTGTACTGAAAAAATGGCAAATACACCTTAAGAAAGCTAACATTTAATGCTCGTTTATAATGTTTATAGTTTGCCAGTGGTCAGCAAACTGCCACCTTGCCCTCATCTGTCTGCTCCTATTCATTTAGGTAGTATCTATAGCTGCTTTCTGCCACAAAGGCAGAACTGAGTATAGGTAATCCCCAAGTTACAAACATCTCATTTACATGCAACTCTCACTTACAAACGGGGGCTACTATCAGTAATAGATAATGTACGAAAGGAGGCTATCATAGGTAACAGATAAATGTACCTGTTCCAACTTACACACAAATTCGATCTAAGAACCTACCTCTACCTCATTTTGTAACCTAGGGAATGACTACAGTTGTGACAGAGACCTTACAGCTCATAAAGCCTAAAATATTTACTGTGACAGAGACTTTACAGCCCCGTAATGTCTAAAATATTTACTATCTATCCTTTTATAGAAAAAGTTTACCAGTATCTGGTATATGCTGTTTAAAAAGCCATTTGAGGCCAGGTACAGAATGGATCACACCTATCATCTTAGTAGCCTGGCTAAAGTGGGTAGATTGCTTGAGCTCAAAAGTTGGAGACAAGCCTGAGCAAGAGGGAGAACCCGCCTCGACTAAAAACAGAAAAACTGAAGCAAGAGGATCAAGCTTGAGCCCAAGAGTTAAGAGGCTGCTGTGAGCTATGATGATGCCATGGCATTCTACCTAGGGCTACAAAGCAAGACTGTCTCACACACACAAAAAGCCATTTGACCATGGTAATTAGTAGATTTGTTCATTTATCTGACTTAGCAATTTCATGTCTAGTAACATGCCAAGGAAATGGCCAAAATGCAGATTTAGATCTTACAAATGTACAAAACTGTATACAGCAGCATTATTAAGCAAAATGTAAATGTCTAAAAATAGAGATGTGGTTAAAAAAATCATGGTAAACCCATATAAATGAATAGTGTAAGTTATGAAAAAGTATAATGTAAATAGGAAAGATGGTTAATGAGGTACAAAAGACGTGTTTGAAAGCGTTATATGTAGAGCAAATGCTGTTTTTGTAAATACATAAATTTTACAACTATACATGCATGGAAGGTCTGAAAGGGCACAAAGTTAAAGGGCATTCATAGGATGATCAAAACGCATTAGATATCCCAAGAAGAGACTAGGAAGCTTGATGGTAGAACATTAACATTTGCTCTCTCGGAAGTAAGTTTTCTCTAGCTTCAGTGTTTCTGGACTTTCAAAATTGCTGACAGAGGCCAGGTGGGGTGGCTTATGCCTGTAATCCTAGCACGCTGAGAGGCCGACGTGGAGGAACCGCTTGAGCTCAGGAGTTCCAGACCAACCTGAGCAAGTGTGAGACTCTGGGAGGAGGGAGGGGGACAGGTATGCTCCCACTTAATGGGTGCAACGTAAGGAGTATACGGCACACCTTCTGAGGGCAGGACAGAACTACAAGAGGGACTCTTCCTAAAAAATGCAAACATTGTAACCTAATTGTTTATACCCTCACATTAATCTGAAATTTTAAAAAATCACATTAAAAAAAAAGAGAGAGAAGAGACCCCACCTCTAACAAAAAATAGAAAAAGCTTAGCCAGGTGTTATGGTAGGCACCTGTAGTCCCAGTTACTGGAGAGGCTGAGGCAGGATGATCACTTGAACCCAGGAGGTTTGAGGTTGCTGTGAGCCAGGCTGATACCAGGATACTCTATAGCCTGGATGACAGCGCAAGCGTCTGCCTCAAAAAAAAAAAAAAAAATTTGCTTGCAGAAAATACATTTTACTTTCAAAACTGGAGGGCAGGAAGGACTCTTAAAAAAAAGTTTTTTAAAAAAAATTGTTTGAGGTTAATTAAGGATAAAAATGTTTTTGTTTTTTGTTACAGTTTGGCTGGGGCCAGGTTTGAACCTGCCACCCTCGATATATGGGACTGGTACCCTACTCACTGAGGCACAGGTGCCACTAAAAATGGTTTTTTTAGTAACAAAATATTGGGAACAACCTAAAGACTAGTTAAATAAATCATGGCATATCCGTAAGACCATAAAAAAGAACAAGTTACTTATGTATGGATATAGAGTGATTCCCAACATACAGCATCAAGTCTTTTTAAAAAAGGTACAAAAGAACTTATAATGCAGGCCATCATTAGCATAAACAAAAAGAGTGGTAATAGCATGAGAGACTACACAGATTTGTTCTCACATGGAATTAATGTACAGTAGAACAACTCGAGGGACAACCCAAGGGACTGTAAAGCTTGGTCAACACGAAGAAGTAGGCTTACTGTACCAGGACATACATGGGGTGCATGTCCCATCTATGAAAATAAGGTCAACTTAAGGAAGTGGTCAACTTTCCTGAACACTTGATTCATGATTTGGAGGTGGGTCAACTATGGAGGTTCTACTATATTTTAAGAAAGGACTCACAAAGAGTCTAACAATATTGGTTGCCTGTGCAAAAAGATGACTTTTCACTAAATAATCTTTTAAACTCTTTGAAATTTGAACCATACGAATCTATTACTCCTTTAAAAATAATACAATTTTCATAAAGCTTATGCTACACACCCAGGCAATTACAATTCCAGAAGTGGTTCCATTAGGGACCCCTTACTACCGCCAGGCACCCACCAGAGCCCACCTCCTGCTCACCTGTAGCCTTCTTTGGCATCCTCCAGAGCCAGCTGCTTGAATTCCTCATACATCTTTTTGTTGAAGTGATCTCGAAGGAAGAAGGACCAGAAGCGGAAAAGAGTGTTCATCTCCTGAGACTGGCCAATGCCCAAGCGTTTCCGCTCTGATGGGGAAGGAAGAATAGAGGACATGTCCCAAGGTCAGGCTGCCCTTGCTTTGGGGACAAAGGATCCTGAGACCTACGGATTTGGTCCTTTTCTTGTGTCTCCAAATTCCTTTGCTCATCCTCTACTACCTTCAGTTATTCAGCAGATAGGTATCAAGCACTGATCACTCTGTATGAGGCCCTACTGTTAAGCCCTGGGCTTTCACCTCAACAGAAGCAGGTAGCACCAGCTTCTGAATCATGTCATTGGTGTAGCCCTTCCCCTCAACTGGCATCACTTTTAAGTATAGTCACAAGGCAAAGCTTGAACAGTCTGTAAATTCTAACAAATTATATTCTGCTCATTAACAATAATTATCACAGGAGTCCTATAAATACAAAATGGTAACATCATACAATAATATATAACAACAGCACAAACAAAAAAATATATAAGATAAATATTAAAATTAAATACTTTTGTCCATCAAGATAAGCCACAGAATGAGAGGTAAGAAAATATTTACAAATCACATATCTGATAAGGCACTTATATTTAGAATAAAGAACTCCTGAATTTAGTAATTAGACAAATAGCCCAGTTAAAAAAGGATCTGAATATACATTTCTCCATAGAAGACATACAAAACAGCCAATAAGCATATGAAAAAATGCTCAATGTCATTAGCTATCAAGGAAATGAAAATCAAAACTATTAGGAGATATTGCTCCACTCACAGTAGAGTAACTATAATAAAAACAAGTGTTGGGAGCAAGTGGAGAAATCAGAAGCTTCACAATTGTATATTGCTATTAGAAACATAAGATGATAATGCCTCCACTTTGGAAAAGTCTAGTCTAGAAATTCCTCAAAAGGTTTAAAAAAGGTTAAACATAGTTACCACATGGCCCAGCAGTGTTACTCTTCCACCAAAGGTAAATGAACTCCTATGTCCATAAGAAATTTATACATCAATGTGCAAAATAGCATGATTTGTGATAGGTAAAAAGTAACAACAAAATATCCATCAATGAGGAATGAATAAGCAAAATATTATCTATTCATACAATGGAATATGATTTGGAATGAAGTACTAGAACACACTACAACATGGATAAACCTTGAAAATCACCTCCGAGGAAGAAGCCAGTCACAAAGGATAGCATGTATATAGTATCATTCCATTTATGTGAATGTCCAGAATAGGCAAATTCATAAAGACAAAAAATAGACTGGCAATTTGGGGGAGGCTGGGAGGATCTGAGGGGTGGGTGGGATGGGGGATGCATGCATAATAGAAAGTGAGTAGGAGTACATTCTGTTATTTATTTATTTATTTTTTGAAATAGAGTCTCACTGTGTTGCCCTGGGTAGAGTGCCATAGCATCACAGCTCATAGCAACCTCCAGCTCTTGGTCTTAAGCGATTCTCTTGCCTCAGCTTCCCAAGTAGCTGGGACTACAGGCACCCAACCACATCGCCTAGATAATTTTTGGTTGTAGTTGTCGTTGTGTGGCAGGCCTGGGCTAGATTCGAACCCACCAGCTCTGGTGTATGTGGCTGGCGCCCTAGCTGCTAAGCTATAGGCCTCGAGCCAGGAGTACATTCTTTTTAGTGCAAGAAAAATGTAAAATTTATTCTAGTGATGGACAAGCAACTCTGAACATACTAAAAGCCGTTCACTGTACACTTTAAATAAGTGAATTGTATGGTATATGGATTCTATTTCAAACAGCACTGTTATTACACATTACACACAACACACACACATAGAGGAAGAAAGAGGGAAATGAGATGAACCAAAAATTTAGCAACCATATTTTGCTGAATGAAAGGGGGTAGGTGAATTAACTACAAGTAATTAGATGGTTTTGAGCATCTTTACAATTAACCTATACAAATACCTACAGTTAAAAGACATCTCATTTTCTGATAAAAGGAAAAATATAAGCACACTTAGGCTGTTTCCTTACATCTTCTAGAACAAGGACCAGTCTTTCTGTAAAGAGCTACCGAGTAAATATTTCAGGCTTTGCGGGAAACATACAGTGTCTGTCACAGATTCTTTTCCCCCTATAATCCTTTAAAAATGTTTTAAAAACAGAAAAAAGAAAAGGAAAAAAAAAAAAGCCCTTGGCTCCACGGTACGAAGAGAAACCACTGGCTGGATTTAGCCCATAAGTCATGGTTTGGCAGCCTCTGTTTTAAGAGAACACAAGCTGTCCTCTTGGATATACAGTGGATATCACTGGACAGTGGCTTAGTCAGTCAGCAAACCTGCCAGAGACACACAAATACTTAATTGACCTTTTTTTTAAATAACAGAGAAACTATCAAATGATAATAAACAAACAAATATAGGAAAATAAAGGAACAGGAATGTTCTGAATGCCATAATCTCTTAGCTTCCTACAATTCAAATCTACCAGGCCTAAGCCTAACTTCAATCTTCTTGCTGTAAGTCATGACACTTTCTACTCTGAGATCAGAGAAAGGAACAGCTGTGCTGTCCCCTCTACCTGACCTTAATTACACCCCTCGGTCTCAACACTGGCCCCCTGGAGTAGCCCCTCTTCCTCTGCACTACTTACCATTAAGGCAGCGCCTACGATACTTGTGGTAGACGTGTTGTGTGAAGCCATTTTCCTTGAGCAGCTCATGGGAAGGATGCTGGAACTTGGGCAGCGACTGAGGGGTACAGCCATAACTGCCAATTGCAGGGGTTCCCTCTGAGGGGCTGGAGCTACAGGTCATGAGAGAGGAGTGTCTCTGGTCACTAGATATCCCATAGCAGCCCCACCATAAGGTTAGGAGGGGTCCCTCTGATACTCTCTCATCAGCCAAAATCAATCTCTCTTAAGGGCACAGAACTGTACTGTGCTGAGCCCATAACTTATATCCCCGAAAGTCTCATCTCAGTAACTCTGCATCAACCCTTGGAAGGTTTTTAACAGAAAAGGTCACTACGGGTCGTCCAGGGAACTATTAACGGCAGAGATCTGTCCAATATCAAAGCTTGAGCTTTTAGGCTTGGCACCCGTAGCACAGTGGTTATGGTGCCCATAGCACTGATGGCAGCCACATAGAGAGGCTGGTGGGTTCAAACCTGGCCCAGGCCAGCTAAACAACAACGACAACTGCAACAACAACAAAAAGCTGGGCATTGTGGTGGGCATCTATAGTCCCAGCTACTTGGGAAGCTGAGGCAAGAGAATCACTTAAGCCCAAGAGTTTGAGGTTGTTGTGAGCTGTGACGCCATGGAACTCTACCAAGAATGACATAGTGAGAATCTGTCTCAAAAAAACAGAAAAACTAAACAAAAAACTAGAGCTTCTACTCATTTAATTTAACGTTTTTAAAAAAAAGAGAGAGATGGAGACTGGTAGCAGTGGCTCATACCTATAATCTTAGCACTCTGGGAAGCCGTGGTAGGTAGACTACTTGAGCTTAGGAGTTTTGAGACCAGCCTAAGCAAGAGTAAGCTAATAGAAAAACTAGCTGGGCATGGTGGCACATGACTATAGTACCAGCTACTCCAGAGAAGGGTTGCTTGAGGCCAGAAGTTTGAGGTTACTGTGAGCTATAATGCCCATGGGGCAACATGGCAACAGAGTGAGATTGTGTCTCATAAATAAATAAATAAATAGATAGATAGATAAAATGATATGGAGTCTCACTCTCTAGTAGCACACCCATGGCTCACTATAATCTCAAATTCCTAGGCTCAAATGATCCCCTTACCTCAGCCTACTGAGAACACGTAAGTTTTATCATTTAGGCATCATGATGGCTTAATGAGCCATCATGGGTTAATCCTCATATAGTTGATACTTGAACAAAACAGATTTTTACTGCATGAGTCCACTTGTATGAGAATTTTGTTCTGTATCTGCAACCCCAAGACTGCAAGACCAATTCCTTCTCTTCTTTAGCTAAGGCAACATGAAGGCAAACAGGATGAAGATCTTTATGATGATCCAATTATACTCAATGAACAGTAAACATTCACTGAAAACTTTTTCAGATTCTTCGTATTTTCTCTTATGATTTTCATAATAACATTTTCTTTTCTTTAGCTTACCTTATTGTAGGAATGCAGTGTATAAAATATCTGTCAATTAACTATTATTTTAACAGTAAAGTCAATAGTATGCTATTGGTAGTTAAGTTTCTGGGTAGTCAAAAGTTCTATGAGTTTGGGTTTGGCGCCTGTAGCTTAATGGGTAGGGTGCCAGCCACCTACACCAAAGCTGGTAGATTTGAACCTCCAGGCCTGCCAAACAATAATGACAACTACAACAGAAAAACAGCTGATGGCTCAGTGCCCATAGCACAGTGGTAACAGCGCCAGCCACATATACCAAGGGTTCAAGCCCAGCCTGGGCCAGTTAAACAATGCTGACAACTGCAACAAAAAATAGCCGGGTGCTATGGCAGGCACCTGTAGTCCCAGCTACTTGGGAAGTTGAGGCAAGAGAATCACTTAAGCCCAAGAGTTTGAAGTTGCGGTGAGCTGCGACACTATGGTACTCTACCGAGGGCAATAAAGTGAGACTTTGTCTCAAAAAAAAAAAAAA